TGACCACAAAAACACCTTCAACATTTTCTTCCATTCTTAGAGATCTTCTCTACTCAGTAGCTAGTAAAGCATTAACCAGTTCTGCAAGAAAAATCTTTATTCTTTTCAAGAGAGGAGATTTTTTTACACAAACCTCTTTGGAAGACACACCAATATTTTTTCCACAACTCTTTGATCTTTAAGCTCTTCACCTAGCAATCTAATCTGAGTAACAACTTTAGAATGTCTGTTAGAAAATTCCTTCACTGTTTCAGACTCTTTCATTTTGATTGCTTCAAATTCTCTTCTCATATTCAACACCTTCGTCCTCCTTGTTCTTTCGCTACCATGGAACTCCTCCTTTAACTTTTCCCAAGCTTCTTTTGCTCTCTCAAGATTCAATATCTTGATAAAAACATCATTGTGCACTGCTGCATGTATGATGGCAAGTGTCTTGCCATCCTTTGCCACTTCTTCATTATGGAGTCGTATTCGAGTCACACTTGGGTCATTGGATAAAGGGGCTAGATTACTTCCATTTTTCACCACATCCCACAAAGTGTGTGCTCTCAAATAAGTTATCATTTTCGCAGCCCACAAATCATAATTTTCTCCCACAAAAACTGGAGGTGGAGGTAAAGAACTACTACTGGATGTCATTCTCTGTTATTGGTATTTTTTTCTGGTTTGTATATAACTTTCTAACTGATTTTCACTCCCTCACAGGCCCTTAAAATCAATGAGCTCTTGCTACCATATTGTAAAATCAGCAAAACAACAAAGTAGTATAAAATCAAAAACAAAGAAGAACGTGATACAGAGTTCAACAACAAAACAAAGGGAGAAAACTCAATTGTGTATTGATATCATAAAAGTTTTCTTTTTTAATACAAAAAGAGATATGTAAATCTCCACAAAATAAGGACTATTACTTCTTTCTACCTAATTTTTTGACCATACAACTTACTCTTCCATAAAATAAGGATTTTCACCAAAATAAAAAGCCATCAAAAGTTACTTAAATTAATTTAGAAAAAACTCAATTTCTAACCAAGATATTTCTCAGCCTTATGATATTTCAAGACCGCCAAACCAAAAATCAAAATTGTCAACTATGACTACCTCTATGTACTTCTGTGTTGGCTTTTGAACATTTTGACCATGGTTCACACTTGATCATCTTAGTCAGTGGAATGGCAACCTGTACACAGAACTTCAAGAAATCTTGGATCAAGAGAAACTGTGAAATACGAAGAGGTTCCATGTATGTTACTTGATGACTGACCTTATAATGGATGTTCAACATGCGGCCTTTCTCACTAAAGATGTGCTTAATCTCTCGTCTCTTTAAGAATGCGAGCCACTAATTAGAGATATGTACATCAAGCAAAGCCAGATCAACTGATACACTGAAGGAAGGAGAAAACTAGCTGTACTCTCGAAAATATGGGTCCTTTTGATGAAAATCAGGCATGGTTTTTATAATAGAAAATTGTACTTTGCTTTGATGTTGTGGTTGAGAATTGAGTGGCAGGATCATGCAAGTATCTGTTGACTGACTTTTGAAGGTGATCATATGTAGCTGAGATGATTGGACTTTCAACAATTAGATCATGAAGAAGTGAGGTATGCATGTTTGATGATTAGCATAAAAGGTTGCTGCTTTATGAAAGGGACTAGGAGCAGGTGGATCTACTAAGTTGTCCGGGAAGTTGTGCTCACTTGGGTTGATGAGTCCCTTGTAATCCGAAGATGTATTTAAAGAGATGGAAACTAGAAAGTGAATCTTCAGACTTAAGTGGGATGACTCAATCTCAGATCATCAAACTTGAATGTATAAAGGTTCTCACATGGCAATTTGAATTACAATTATTCAAGATAATATGTTTCACACCATGGACTGTTTGGTTACCCAGTTAGATTTTAGGGGTCCAGACAGATGTTTATCTCCTGTAGCAAGATTCCATGGTGACTGATGGAAGGAAACAAATTCTTTGTCTAGTAATATATTGCAAAATTGTCACACAAATCACTATTTTAGAAATTAAACCAGAAAAAGTAAAAGATAAAGCACTCTGATTAGCTGCATTACATATCAATTGAACCTTCTTATGTGAGGATTTGTCACCAAGGTAGAAAAATATTATTAAGGGAATAAAGCTTCTGGGACCTATGAATTGAAACTAAACTGAAGCATGCAGTCATTAACTAAATTACAAAAATAGTGTAATATTATGTCATAAAAGTGAGCTTGCTAAGTCATGTGGTGAGAGCAGTAGGTGAAGAGGAGAGTTGAGGAAAAGAAAATTGTCAAATCAATCCACATCATCCCCATGCCTCATAAGGGAATCTGGTTGTAAAAGCCCCTTCTTCATCACTGTTTGAGTTAGTTGTACATTTGTCAAGTGGTATTAAAGAAAAAAAAAAAATTGGTCCTATAAGTTGTCAGAAGGGTAAAGATAAATGGTTTAAACAGGTATAAGAAGTTTCGTCACCATGTTGAAATGACTGGTTGAGATTGCTACAATTCATTCACAAAACAAGCCTATATGGCTTGCAACATGCTAATATAGGTTCAAACTTTGTTGTTAAAGTTGTATTTCATTAGAAGAAAAGAATGACCCCTTCCATATGGTACCATTGAAAGAGTACTTCAACCAAACATGATTTTAATTAAGTAAATAACATACATCCATCAGTTATTTAAATTAATTAATGTAAACAGATTCATTTTAATTAATATAAATAGCTTTAATTAAGTCTACCATATTTCTCTTTTACTTTCATAAACAATAATAATAGAAAATATCCTTTTAAATTTCAGAAAATGTCAAAATTTATTTAACTAATACATCCATCAGTTATTTAAATTAATTAATGTAAACAAATTCATTTTAATTAATGTAAATAGCTTTAATTAATTCTACCATATTTCTCTTTTACTTTTATAACCAATAATAATAGAAAATATCCTTTTAAATTTCAGAAAATGTCAAAATTTATTTAACTAATAAAAAAGCACGAAACACAAGATTATTTAGAAGCCAAAATATCATAATAGCCAAATCTAGATAAGAAGCTTAAAATAAACATAATTCTAAAATTAGAACGTATAAACAGAAACATTACACAAGAAGTAACAAAATTTAAACTTTACTTTTAGGGCTTTACCCAAGAGGGAGCCCTTCCAGAAATTCTCTAAGGCCTAGGTCAAGCCCAGGCCCAAGAGGGGGTTTGGAAATAGTTTTCAACCAGCAATAGACGCGCCTCGGTTAGAACCTCACTAGCTGCGTCATTGCCCCAAGCGCAAAGATACTTTCCCATTTCACTGATAGCTCATTTTATTGGAACTTCTATCAGTTTCAAATTTTGTTCAGGTCTATGTGGGACTTTAGGCAGCATCCCAATTTTGTTACTCAGAAGTCTGAAAAATCACTTGCTCATATTTAAATTATTTGACTTTATCATAGCTAAGCATTTCCATAACTATGTTATTCACAAATCAATATAATTTACATTACAAATAGAAGCACATCCTATTCGTACTAAATAAATGTCTGTGCCTACATGAAAATAAAGTACTATTTTGCTTTGATGTTGTGGCTGAATATTGGCTACAAGTGGCAGGATCAGTTTAACAACTAGCTCGTGGAGAAGAGAGGTCTGAAAGATTGATGATTAACAATGATTCTGCATTATCAAAGGGGAAAGCAGAAGGTGATGAAGAAGAGAAAACAACACAATCTCTTGTTTTTTTCTTCAGAATGAAACTGGAAACATTTATATCATTAATTTACTTTCAAATGGTTAACTCATCTTTGATTTGATAGTAACTTGAGATCAGAGGCAACTAAAACCATGTCATTCGAGATTGAATTTGTAGACAAGAGTACGGAATCACTACCCTGTTGATTTTTCTTTGCAACTACTTCTACCATGAGCCTCTAAACTGAACATATCTGAAGTCGATTGCAGGAACAAAGATGTTAAGAAGATGGACACAAGTGAATATTAGTGGTTAGTAGGTACATGGCACTGACATGAGAAAGGAAGAAATATTGGTTTGTTCTTAATATTAATGATATCCTGATAGAAGATTTAGCATCAGTTGGGAATAGCACGTTGAATTTTAAATAATCAGGCCTATGGTAAGTTAAGCTAACCTGCATACTAGAAGTTTAATTTAGTTAAGAAAAAGTAATAAGAGACGAACTCATTTCTCTTAATTATTACATATATTTCATTTAACATTAATAGAAAAAATAAAAAAGAAAAGCCATTACAACATCTTGAATTTTTAAATAGAAAAAAAAATTGAAACTAAAACAGCATAAAACAATAATAGTATTGGCATGATGGAACATGTGTTTAGGTGATAATTTTCTAAAATGGTGAAATTATCTTTCATTAAAATATCTTCTGATTTCGTTCCTTAATTAAGGAAGGTGCAACTTTACTTCAAAATGACAATACTTGAACAAATGGAAATTCCATTTTGTAAGATATATGGAGTTGGAGTATGTAACTAAAAATAAGTATACACACGTCACTTTTTATGTAATTTGTGATTTAAATGGTTTGTATTAGAGAAAATGTTTGACTCCACCGTGGATTTCACCAACCAATATATTTTAACAGAACAAATCACTCAATTATGTAGTAAAACATATAAAATTTGTGTAGGTAAATAAAATTATTAATTTTGACAAAAGAAATTATAATAAATGTTTGATATTTATTTGATCTGTTATTAATTAATAATTAACCAAGAGGAGTGACAAGTAATTGTCTCTATCTCTTGCAGAGAAAAAGGAACAAATCGTAGGGAAGAGAAGAGAATAGAAGAGAAGGTAAGGGTGAATCAGAGGTAACACGAAAACCAAAAAGTCGCAGGTAAAAAGTTGAGTAAATGGGAGATAGGAGAAAATGCGATTTAAAAATGGGATAAAAGCGGGGAGGATCGAGGTGAATTGAATTGAATTGGAAAGTAGAGAATCAGATCTGGTGGCTGTCCCTTAGCGATGGCCAAAGCGTTGATATTCGTCTACATCATCGTCGCGGCGGTGCTGCTCTTGTTCCTCTCCCATTCCCCCAAGAAGCTCTCCGGCCACCGCCACCGCCGCCTCAAGCTCCGCTCCAACTTCACCCTGGCCCCGTCGCGCCACCACGCCGTGGCCTTCGACCCCCTGGTGGCGGAGCTGGAGCGGCACCGGGAGGACAAGGAGTGGGAGAAGCAGATAATCCACCAGAACCACCTCGAACTGGACCCGGACCGGGCCCCGGCCCACGAGTCCCAGCCCGAGTGGGAGGACTTCATGGACGCCGAGGATTACCTGAATGACGAGGACAAGTTTAATGTCACCAACAGGTTGATACTCTTGTTCCCCAAGATCGACGTGGACCCCACCGATCGGTTCGTCACCGAGCACGAGTTGACTCAGTGGAACCTCCAACAGGCACAGCGTGAGGTCCTGCATCGCACCCAGAGGGAGATGGAGCTTCACGACAAGAACCACGATGGCTTTGTTTCCTTCTCCGAGTACGACCCTCCCAGTTGGGTTCAAAACGCAGGCGTGTCCCTTTTTCACACTCTTTAAGATCTGAGTAACACTATTATGATCGACAAATGTAGTAGGACTTGAACTGGAGTTTTGAATTTTCTGTTTTTTTTTTTTTTTAAAATAGGTATGCCAATGTATGTGATTATTGTTTTTGAGATACGCCATTGTGTTTTGAGTGTTGGCGTATTGTGACTGTTTATTGAATTTTTATTTTTTTTACTTTTGCTAGATAATGAGTCTTTCGGTTATGATATGGGTTGGTGGAAAGAAGAGCATTTTAATGCATCGGATGCTGACGGAGATGGTGTTCTAAACTTGACTGAATTCAATGAGTGAGGCCTCTACTACTTGTTAGGAAGCTGTTTGTTTAAGCCCATGCGACTACTAGATAATCCCTTTCACATTTCCTTATTTTTTGCTTTTATGGTTGCCTTAGCTTTCTGCACCCGGCTGACAGCAAAAACCCTAAGCTTCATCAGTGGTTGTGCATGGAGGAAGTCAGGTAACTCAAATTTCAGAAAAAAGTTGCGGGGTTATCATTTATGTTTTAGCTATCGAGAGAGAATAGAAACTTTGGGTAATATTTTCTTGTGTATTGTGAATTCGTGATGTGTTAAGAGGGGTTATACAAATCATAAAACACGAATCATTATTTATACTAATACTAGATCATAATCCTAACTAAATAAGGAAAGAAACCATGGGATGATAAAGAAACTTAGAAACCAATCCTCTAAAATACTCTAGATCATTCTAATGCATAATTAAGATAATTTTTGCTGGATATTGTTCCAATTCTCCTTGTCAAGATGTAGCTCATTAAGAAAAGGAAATATGTTAAATGGGCTCCTCCAAACCAAATGAAAAGGCAACTCAAGGATGCTTGAAATATTGAAGTTTTGCACTACCAAAGAAAGAATTCATCGCCACATGACTCATTAGTGAAATAAGAGAAATCACCGTCAATGAGAATAACAATAGGAGGCTGGTATGAATCACGGTCAATTCCTCTCTAGTTTATTATTGTATGGCTCATTGGAGTAATCTTTGATTTTTTGTGTACCTGATATAAAGGAATATGGGGTGTAATTTATCCAAGATATTTTGGTATAAAATTTTGATGATAATTTATGGAAATTGGTAAAACTTTTTAGTTGGGCATTTTATATTCACATGTATTTGGATGTAAGAGATACTTACAATATTTGGGATCTTATGTCCAACATGTATCTTAAATAACAATGAAATCATGTGCCAGGATACCAAACACCAGTGTCTACCTCAGTTCCTCGTTTATTTAACATATTGGGGAATCCTGGATGCCTTCATGAGGCTAACGGAATAACCCCTAATTACCTAGTCTTGATAGGGAAACTTTCATTTAGCAGCATAGCTGGTGGAGATAGGGATATATGAGTGTTTGCTTCAGATTCAGAAATAGGCAGTGTAGACCTTTTCTTACCACTAGTATCCTTGACTTTGGTCTTTCTTAGCCTTCATTTTGTTCCCAAACTATCTGCAGCTTAATATATCCCGGAGAATTCCCAAAGCCATATTTAATCTCCACAAATTGTAACTTATGCATTGATGACTGGATTTGTTATGGTCAGCCAAGTCTGGCAACTTAAAAGTTTGAAGTTGAATATTTCAATCCTTTGCCTAGCTATCCCAACTGATTGCGTGAAAATGATGGATGTATGGTTTGTTTTTATCATTGGAAATGAATTTTTTCTATCAGTCATTTGCCTCCTCTAGTGAAATTGCAATATTTGTATAGTTTTTTCATTGACTATTGTGCCATATGTTTTATATACGACAATATTTGTCATTAATTTGATTCTCTGGAGTGAATGAAATCCTTCATTTATATGCAATCAGCTTATTTATATCATTACCTTGGCTTACTATTGTTTGATTTACCCATTCATCATGTACAGGGAAAGAGATACTGATAGAGATGGAAAGGTCAACTTTAAAGAATTTTTCCATGGGTTGTTTGATCTGGTAAGAAACTACGATGAAGAAGGTCATAGTCAGACACATGATTCTAATAATTCAATGGATGCTCCAGCTAGAGTGTTGTTTTCTCAGCTTGACAAGGATGGGGACGGGTATTCACCTTTCTATTATTTTCATTAGTCTACTTTCTTTGAATCGTTATGGTAGTCTCCTAATAGTATACTATCTTTTGATTTTGGGTTATAATCTCAATCTTTGCAGATACTTGTCAGATGTTGAACTACTGCCCATAATTGAGAAACTCCATCCATCTGAGCATTATTATGCAAAGCAACAAGCCGATTATATCATTTCACAGGTACTTTATTTAACTCTATAATAATTGCACTCTTATTGTTGGCCAAGGTGCTGATTCTTTCTTGAAGTCATCTGATCATGCACATGACTATGTATTCAATTGATATTGGCTTAACATGGATTACATACATAACTCTCTTATAGTAAATGGTTTTTTTGCTTCGGTAGAAACCTAGGTATTAGATTATGAAAAAATGGGAATGATTCCCCTTCCCAGTTACAATAACAGATTAACAGACTCTCCCTTGCTCTCAGCATACAGAAGCTAATCAAAACACACAAAAACTGGAAAGAAAAAGAAAATATTCCAAATCTGCAGAGGTCATTCAAGGGACCTGTAACCTCCTCCATGTTCAATCATACACTTGATGTTGCTTCTCTCTTTCCCTCTCATCCCCTTTGTTCCTTCTTACTGTATAACTTCTTGACTGATTTTTCTCTTTTTCTCATGATCCTCCTGCCATTTAAGCCGGTAATTGCAGTTAGAATCCCTTTCTGACTCACAATTCCCTCACTAACTGTGAATGTGAATCATTAATTTCGTGCTATGTGGGGCTTCTCCTTCTACTTTGCACTCTAGTAAGTGGGTCAATATCTATTAGCTTACCTTGCCAGAGTACCTTGAGACAAAAGATTGAAATAAATATTGCTAGATATTTTCAGTAATCAATATATCTGAAGTAATAATGTAATACAGTTGATAAAGTGATAGGGACTTGGTATCATGGGGTGTCTAAAGTCCCACATTGAGTACTATGGTGGAGTATTTTAAGTGTTTGATTTTCCCATATTAACATCTAGCTTTTAAGATAGGTTCCTCAAGTGTTTAGGTGCTTATCAATCGTCAGTGATAAGGATTATCTACGAAGGGTTCTCACTAATGAGGAAGTTGAGTGAAGTGTCACCAAGTAAACTGGTGTAGTGTGAAACTCGTAAAGATTTTGGTTCTCAGGGCTAGTGCTATGAGAGAAACTAGGGTATTATGAGATGTTTAAGTCTCACGTCCGGTAGAATGGAATGCTCAATGGAGTATTTTAGTGTCTGATTCTTCTCCCTTAGCAGTAGCTTTTAAGGGGTGTGTTTAGATGCTTAACATAATTTTGATAGATCTTCTGAAGCTTAATGGTCCTGTGGTCAATTCTTCACATGCTCTATCGTTGGTGGTGAACTTTAAATGACCCTTCTTTCTTTCATCAATAATAAGTCAATAATATGTCTGAATGTGACCATGGAAATTGATAGCTTCACTTTATATGGTATTTATTGGAGATAGCATACTGGCCGGGTCTCTTAATCATTAAAGGTTCCTTTTTTGTAAGTAAAACTTTTAGCTTGTAATTGATAATTGTACTTTCTATTTGATCTCTTTAAAATGTAAATCATTCAGTAATGCGTTCCCATTCTTTCTGGATGAGAATTGCTGAAATTTGTTTTCTCTGCGATTCCTTTTGGGATAAATTGTCTGCTTGTTTTCATTATTGTTAATATTATTATAGGTTCTTGAAGGACTTATTTATAGGTAAATCAATTTTATTATCCATTTTTCCTCTCTAATTTCCAGCTTTAATTGTTGAAAATGCACATTTTGCGTTGGCTTATGGTCAAACAATGTCTCGATTCTGATATACTAACTGCTTATATCACGCCAGCCAGATTTATCTCCACTCCCTGCTGCTAAGAAAACTTGTTTTAGTATATATGCACTGGTTTAAGATAGAGGAGGGGAAAGAACATTTTTAACCCTTTGGTGGGAGGGATGAGGGTGCGCATCTTCTACTTAGCAATGTGAAGTTAATATATGTTAACAACCTTGCGCTTCGATAATGTTTTAAGAGGAAGGGGCTAATTTTCTTTTCTTTGGTGGCCGCTGCATATATTGTATATTCTAAATATTACATGTAAACCAGTCTTTATGTCTTTTGCATTGAGGAGTTATATCTGTCGAGCATGATTTACATGTAAAGATCTTTCAACTAGATGCTAGCATTTGGTTGAATTTTTTTAAAGATAGGCTTCGGCATGGTCTTCTTCACCTGTTGTGTTACATCTCATTAAACATTGTAATAATAATTTTATGAAAAACAGTTAATACTGACAAAGATGGCTCAATACTCACTCCCAACACCTGTTGCATAACATCATACATTTATTTAATCAGTGACCATTGTATGAAGTCCGGAAAATAATGTTATGACAGGCAGATGAGGACAAGGATGGCCGTCTTACCTTGACTGAGATGATTGAGAATCCATATGTATTTTATAGTGCTATTTTCAACGATGATGAAGATGATGATGGTGATTACCACGATGAGTTCCGTTAAATTAATTTTAGGTAAAGGCAGCTTTTTCCTCTCCTGTTTGTTTATACCAACATTTAGTTAAATATTTTCTCTATAATGTTTTATGATAATTTATTGTAGGATAAGCAGAAAAGTTTGGCACAATTCTAGTGACAAGGAATCAGTATTTGAAGACTATGACATGAGAGAATTTTGATGTTTCATGCCTTTGTAGGACCCCTAGTCTCTATCCTGGTGGGCTTTTTGAGCGATGGCAACATTAATTGCTTCTTTCCATTCATATTATCTGCGAGTTCTTATTTGCTGATGGGATCCACCGTGGCTTGTCGTAGAGTCACATCACACCTGGGATCAGATGGAGGATGATAGGATCTCAACTTCATTGTAAAATTTGTAGAATAATATACAAATTTTCAAATCATTAGTTCGGCCATCATTAATTAAGTAGAACATCTCAATTCTCAATGGACAGTATACATGTACTATATGACTATAATGACCGTCATGATCCCAGTAGCAGTGAGAGTATTTTTGGATCCCAGTAGCAGTGAGAGTATTTTTGGACCCCAGTAGCAATCATATGTTTAGCAAAACTATAATAAGAAAATCAACAATTTCGGATTTTTTGATCTAAAAGTTTAGGGTAACCGAGTAAAACTCCATTAATTTGGTCTAACAAGTTTTTAATAGTTTGATATACATATTAAATGTCTATTTCTTTAAATAATTAAAGTGAATAGTTTTAAGAGTTTGAATAAATGATAGAAGAAATTAAATGATCCAAAATCAAGATAGAAGAAATTATAATGATTGTTGTTTTTGTGCCTTCTTTTTAAGAAAATATTGTACGAAAAATATATGCTTACCAAATTTCAAAACAACTGCATAAACCAAAATCTTAATACGAGTAGGATTCATATTTATTTTTTCATTAAAATTTTATAAATAACTTGGAAAAAATTGAACCATGAAAAATAAAAATATATAAGCTCAAAATTGAAATGCAAACTTTATTATATAAACTAAATAGGCGTACATAGATTGAGGGGACCGCGGCTGGTGTCTGGAACCTGATCGAACAAGTGGGATGATTCTATTACCCAGGGTTGTTGCTTGGTAGTGGCTCTAATTTCAGTATTTTTGGTCCAAGAGCACACCCCCAATAAGAAGTGAGTTACTGTTACCTTTGCACGTTTCCTTAGATAAGTAAGCAATAACTTCACCGCAGTGCTAGCAAACAACTGTTTTATTAAGAATAAACGACAAGATAGTCTCTGTCTTAGAAGTCATAACATTGTCCCATAAATATAATGAATTACAATTCCAAATGTGTGCTTGCAAGTGAGCCTCTCAAAAGCAGATACCATACCAGCTATTGTCACTTCAGAATTAACACTAGCATTAACCCTGCTATGATATGTCAGAATTTAAAACCGTCCATGCAGGTCTAAATAATTCTATTTGACAATAAACAAGTCATGCAAAAGATAACATGTGGGTGCTACTTATTGTTGGATCCCCTATAAGAAGGTGCACCATGATATTCATGCCACAACCAAGGACAAAACACCCTTTATTATATATCTATGCTTCTGGTTACTTTAGGAACAAACAGTTACTTTGAGGCTTGTTTTCTCCACGTATTCTGATAAGTACCTATGAAAGCTACTAATTTCCCTTTCTCTTTCTCTTTGTAAACACTAGTGTAACTGGAATTGTCTTTATCCGGATCTAACAATCCTTATCATCAAAGGAAACAGTGAGTTTCCTCACTGTATTTAATACCCTTCCTTCCTTGTCACCTTGTGCATGCTTTTAAGCTAAACGTTAAGCATCTTCTATCATAGCTGAAGCTGTTAAGGGGTTCAGACTTGAAATTAAGCTTCAATGGCTGAAACCAACTATTATGCAAGCAATAGAAGCATCACAAGCCATAGGATTTGGAAGTATATGAATAATGCTGGTGAGAGAGTGAGAAGATGCTTCGGTTTGGCTTGGAGAACAGCAGCAAAAGTAGGCAAAGAGGATCCAAGAAGGGTGGTCCACTCTTTGAAAGTGGGGCTGGCTTTGACACTGGTTTCTTTGCTGTATCTGATAAAGCCTTTGTTCGAAGGGATTGGACAAAATGCCATGTCAGCTGTTCTCACTGTGGTTGTGGTCATGGAGTTTACAGTAGGTAAGCCAAGCTAATAGCTATTGCTAGTCTCAGTGATTATCATGTTAATATAGAAAAAAAATCTCAATAATAAACTCAAATCACAACTAGTATGAAAGAAAAACTTGATCAGAAGTATCAACATGTCATGTTGGTTATCTTGTTTTTCGATCATATAGTGAGTACTATAATATTACATCTGTTGATTTATGTTTTTTGCTTCTTCTCTAATATAATGCAGGAGCCACATTAGGCAAAGGTCTAAATAGAGGGTTGGGGACTCTGCTAGCAGGATCACTGGCATTTCTTGTGGAGTATGTTGCAGACATCCCTGGTCGGATTTTTCAAGCTGTTTTCATTGGTTCTGCAGTTTTCATTTTAGGTAAGCTTGACCACTTATTACGTTAAACAATCTTGCCTTGTTGTTTAATCATTTGGAAGGGTGTGTGCGATGAATTACCCGAAACCTCTTCAGTAAGTTTGAGGAGTGTATTTATATGATAGACCAAAATTATACTCATTTTTAATATCTAACATTTGAAATTTAAAACTATGAAAAACTATAACACTCAATTTGATTCATTTTTTAATTAAAATCTAAAAGTTTGAGTTTGAATTTAAAAAATAAATAAATAAAAAACTTAAACTTAACTTTTTTAGTTTACTTGTAATTCAACTTTTTAAATTATTTTTATATTTTATCAATTAATAAATATTTTAATACTAGAAGATATATAAAAAATATGTGGTTGACAAATTATATTTACGAAATTCAAATATTCTAGATTTTTAGTTTTTATAAACAGTAAACAAAGAAATTAAAAATTCTATTCATATAATATTAACTTTAATGTTTTTAATAAAATTATTTATCTTTTCATAATAATTATACAAATAATAAATTAAAAAAATCAAAATCAATTTCTAAAATTTTCATTTGATAATTCAATTATAAGAATAGTATAATAATAAAAGTTATTATTATTATTGAGTTATCACGTGAGTATCAGGTGTTAAAACATTATTTTCTTATAATTAATTTTAATTCTTCTTTTTTAATTTAATTGAACACTTAAGTTAAATATCCCATTTGTTTCTTAATATCTTAGGTGTTATATAAATTAAATATTAAATTTAATTATTTATAATAAATTTATTAATTTTTAATAATATTTTTATTATTTTAATAATTTTTCATCTCAAAGCCCTCTTAATAATTTATTATGTTTTCACTCTATAATAAATAGAATTAAAAATAGGATTATAATTAAAATAATAACTAATATAAATTTAAACTTTATTCGTAAAATAATTAAAAAAATTTAAAAAGAAGAAATGACTAAAGCCCTTTATACATTTTTTTACTTATATTGAATTTTACTTAAAATATTATAAATGCAAAAGGTTATACAATTCTATCAAAGTATATATGTGTGTGTTTGTTTTTAGAACTTAATTGCGCATCAAACCAAAATTGTTTTATTGTCAGGAGCTGTGACTACTTATGTGAGGTTCATCCCCCATATCAAGAAGAATTATGACTATGGTGTTATGATATTTCTCTTGACTTTCAATTTGATAACTGTATCAAGTTACCGTGTTGATAATGTTTGGGCAATTGCAAAAGATCGTATTGCAACCATTGCCATTGGTGGTGGCCTGTGTCTTGTAATGAGCCTATTGATTTTCCCAAACTGGTCAGGGCAAGAACTCCATAACTCCACCATTTCAAAGCTTGAAGGCCTCGCCAACTCTATACAAGGTAATTATTGTCAACTTTCAAGCTATTCTGCCATAATCACTATGAATCGTATACTACTCAAAGGTTACTGCATGTGTAGTTCCATTGTCTTAATCAACATTTATATATACATATGTATCATTGATGGTCCAAAGAATCATGCAGCTTGTGTGGTGAGATACTTTAATGATTCTGAAACTCAAGATGATGAATCTGATGATCTGATTTACAAAGGTTACAAGGCTGTCTTAGATTCCAAATCTAAAGATGAAACACTGGTAACTCTTGGACCATTTCCTAATAGTGAAGTTAAACATTTCCAGAATTAGTATTTTTCTGTGGCAGCAGATCTTACAAGGATGTGAAATTAAACAGGCACTGCAAGCAAGTTGGGAGCCAAGATGGTCAAGATATTGGCACAGAATCCCATGGCGGCAATATAAAACAGTGGGGATTACTCTTCTCCATTTTAGTTACACTGTTGTTGCACTACATGGGTGTCTATTGTCTGAAATTCAGGTACAATATCTTAATCAAATAGTTTTAGAAAACAAAAATTACAGTCAGGAAAGGTTATAGATGATATTTAGGTGCCAAAAGATACTATTGTAACTAGAAAATATGTGTCTATGATCTCTAATGAATTATTTCTATATATAATGATATTCTGGTTAGAAAAATGATTGATATTGTTTGCAATAACGGTTAGGTAAACATTAAATGCATGTAGTTGAGAGGTAGTGGTTATAGAGGTAGTAGTTGAGAGGTAGTTGTTGTATTGAATGTATGTAGTTGAAAGATAGTAGTTGTATTAAATGCATGTAGTTGAGAGGCCATATCCAAAGGGCCTATAAATTGATCATGCATCACTCATTGCAAACATATCAAGTGATAATATACAGAGTGTTTTATTTAGATACTTGTTTGTCTACAAATTGGTATCAGAGCTTGAGAGCCTGAGTGTCTGAGTGCGTTAGAGAGAGTGTTTGAGAGTTAGAGAGTTTGTTTGAGATGACCAACTTAGCTAACAGCATGCCCCTACCAAAGTTATCAAAAGGCGTAAGCTATGATAACTGGAGCCTGCAAATGAAGGCTCTCCTTGGTTCCCAAGAAGTATGGGATGTGGTCGAAAATGGGCACCAAGAACCAGAGAATATTGAAGAGCAGACGATTGCTCAGCTTGCTGCATTGAGAGCAACACGAGTAAAGGACAAAACGGCTTTATACGTACTGTACCGAGCTGTTGATGAGTCCGGCTTTGAGAAGATAGCAAATGCTAAATCTTCAAAAGAAGTGTGGGATATTCTGGAGAAGGCATATAAAGGGGATAATCGTGTGAAGCAAGTCAGACTTCAAACTCTTAGAGGCGAGCTTGAAAGCATGAGGATGAAAGAGGTCGAAGGGGTTGCCGAGTACATCTCCCATGTTGAAACCGTGGTGAATCAACTCGGAAGAAATGGAGAGACGCTGCCCACTTGCCGAGTGGTGGAGAAAATCTTAAGGTCGTTAACTGACGATTTTGAGAATATCGTTTGTGCAATAGAAGAGTCCAAGGACTTGTCGGTGCTCTCGGTGGAAGAGCTTGCCGGGTCGCTTGAAGCGCATGAGCAGCGGAGAAGGAAGAAGAAAGAGGAGTCATTTGATCAAGCACTCCAAGCAAAGGCAACCTTAAAGGAGAAGAAGGTTCCTTATGCTCAGAACACTCAAGGCCGAGGTGGTAGAGGTAGAGGAGAATATGAAAGAGGCAAGGAGCCAGTCAGTCAACAAAACTGGCGTGGCCGAAGTCAAGGTAGAGGTCGTGACGGTAGAGGCCGAGGTGGTCAGTCAAGCAATTCCGGAGTTGAATGCTTCAAATGTGGGAAGTACGGTCATTTTGCTAAGGACTGTTATTCAGGTATCAAATGTTATAATTGTGGGAAGGTTGGGCATTTCGCGAAGGACTGCCGATCTGAGAGGAAGAAGGAGACAAACCTCCTCTCTGAGGACACTGAGGAAGAAGGAGTATTGATGATGTCAAGAAGTTCGGATGTCGAGCTAAGTCCGAGCTGTTCTGACAACTCGGTTTGGTATCTTGATACAGGAGCAAGTAACCACATGTGCGGGGACAAAAACCTTTTTAAGGAGCTCACTAAAGTTGAGGTCGGACACGTGTCATTTGGAGATGCATCAAAGGTGGCAGTAAAAGGCAGAGGTACAATCTGGTACCTGCAGAAGAATAGCCGAATTGGAGAAATCAAAGACGTGTACTATGTACCCGATCTCAAAAGCAACATATTGAGTATGGGTCAGCTGATGGAGAAAGGCTACTCGGTTCTGATGAAAGACCGAGTACTATACCTGAAAGACAAGTCGGATCGTTTGATTGCCCGAGTAGAAATGAAGAAGAACAGAATGTACAAGTTGGACTTGAAGATAGTCCAAGAGAGGTGCTTGAAACTTGACGTGAAGGATGAAGCAATGATATGGCACTTTCGATTTGGCCACTTGCATTTTGGCGGACTGACCGAGTTGGTAAAGAAAGAGATGGTGCGAGGACTCCCGTCTATGAAATTTGAAAAGAAATTATGTGAAGAGTGTGTGCTCGGGAAGCATCTGAGGACCTCATTTCCAAGGACGGCCGAGTACCGTGCAAAGAAACAACTCGGATTGATTCACACAGATATTTGTGGACCGATTACCCCTGAGTCCTTCAGTGGGAAAATGTATTTCATTTCTTTTATAGATGATTTTTCAACAAAAACCTGGGTATATTTTTTGAAGGAGAAATCCGAGGTGTTTGAGATGTTCAAGAGATTTAAAGCAATGGTTGAGAAAGAGACTGGCATGCCTATCAAATCTGTTAGGCCTGATCGTGGAGGCGAGTTCATTTCATCCGAACTCATGAAGTATTGCGAGGAGCAAGGGATAAGGAGATTTCTGACAGCACCATACTCACCCCAACAAAACGGAGTTGCCGAGAGGAAGAATCGAACCATTCTTGACATGGTTCGAACAATGTTGAGAAGCAAAAACGTGTCAAAGGAGTTCTGGGGAGAAGCAGTGCAATGTGCCATCTATGTGCAAAATAGATGTCCACATGCTAAGCTGAACGAGAAGACACCGCAAGAAGTTTGGAGTGGAAGAAAACCGAGTGTGTCTCACCTTAAAGTGTTCGGTAGCATAGCTTATGGTCATGTTCCAGCTCAACAGAGGACCAAGCTCGAAGACAGAAGCAAAAAGTACGTGTTTATTGGGTATGATGAAAAAACCAAGGCGTACAGGTTGTTTAACCCAATAACTAAGAAAGTCATCATGAGCCGAGATGCTCAAATTGATGAAGAAAGCGAGTGGAGTTGGAACAACCCAGAGAAGGAGTCCATAGGAAGTAGAAGCTCGGAAGTTGATACACCACATACTGTGAGAGATCATGAGACTTCTGATGAAGAAGATGAACCTCTACAGCCCAGAGCACGAAGTTTACAAGATATATACAACTCCACTGACGAAGTGCATGTTGTATGTCTCTTGGCAGATTCAGAAGACTTAAGTTTTGAAGAGGCCGTGCAGGAGAAAAAGTGGAGAAAGGCAATGGACGAGGAGATCGGAGCAATAGAACGCAACAACACATGGGAGCTAACTGATTTGCCCAAAGGAGCACGACCTATCGGCATAAAGTAGGTGTACAAGAAGAAGACAAATGCTGAAGGAGAAGTTGAGCGATATAAAGCTCGACTCGTAGTGAAGGGTACAAGCGAGAAAGAAGGAATAGACTATGACGAAGTATTCGCCCAGTGACGAGAATGGAAACAATTAGGTTGCTGATTTCCTTAGCGGCTCAACACGAGATGGACAATCTTGCGAGATGGACGTGAATTCGGCATTTACGAATGGAATCTTGGAGGAGGAAGTATATGTTGAACAGCCACTCGGATACATGCGAAGAGGAGAAGAGAAGAAAGTGCTTGAGATTAAAGAAGGCACTTTATGGCTTGAAACAAGCTCCCGAGCATGGAATGAAAGAATTGACACTTACTTCAAAAGGAATGGATATGAGCGAGTGTCCTTATGAACATGCTCTATACATAAAGAAGAAAGGAGAAGATGTGATGTTTGTTGCCCTATATGTTGATGATCTTATCTTCATGGGGAATAATGCTGAGCTAATTGAAGAGTTTAAAGAAGTGATGAAGAAGGAGTTTGAGATGACTGACTTGGGTCTTATGAAGTATTTTCTTGGCTTAGAAGTTGTTCGGGGAAAGGATGACATCTTTGTGTCGCAGGAAAGGTATGCTTGAGGAGATCTTGAAAAAGTTTAAGATGACAAGTTGCAACCCGGTTTCCACCCCTATGGAACCTGGTACAAAACTTTCTAAGTATGCGAGATGGAGACAGAGTTGATGCGAGCAAATACCGAAGTCTGATTGGAAGTCTTAGGTATCTTACAAATACCAGACCAGATTTAATGCTAAGTGTTGGAATAACAAGTCGATATATGGAGGAGCCAAGGTATACTCATTGGAAGGCACTAAAGAGAATTCTAAGGTATGTGAGAGGAACAGTGTCACTTGGCCTAATGTATACTAGGACGGATGATTATCGACTAGTAGGCTACTCGGATAGTGACTGGTGTGGAGATGTTGATGACCGGAAAAGCACGTCTGGATATGTATTCTTCATGGGAAACACAACATTCACCTGGCTTTCAAAAAAGCAGCCCATTGTAACGTTGTCAACATGTGAAGCCGAGTACGTTGCAGCAGCCTGGAGTGTCTGTCATGCAGTTTGGCTTAGAAACCTTCTAAGCAAACTGGAGTTGAAGCAAGAAAGAGGGACTGTGATTCGAGTTGATAACAAGTCGGCCATTGAATTGGCAAAGAATCCAGTCAATCATGAGAGAAGCAAACATATTGATGTTCGATTTCACTTCATCCGAGAACAAGTGAAAGAAGGAAATGTGGAGTTAGAGCACGTCGGAACCCGAACACAAGCTGCAGATATGTTCACGAAGCCACTGTCAACCACTTTGTTCGAGAACAACAAGAAGATGCTTGGAATCAAGGACAAAAAAAGCATTTAAGTTTATGGGGGGATTTTGTTAGGTAAACATTAAATGCATGTAGTTGAGAGGTAGTGGTTATAGAGGTAGTGGTTATAGAGGTAGTAGTTGAGAGGTAGTTGTTGTATTGAATGTATGTAGTTGAAAGGTAGTAGTTGTATTAAATGCATGTAGTTGAGAGGCCATATCCAAAGGGCCTATAAATTGACCATGCATCACTCATTGCAAACATATCAAGTGATAATATTAAGAGTGTTTTATTTAGATACTTGTTTGTCTACAATAACTCGTGAATTTAAGCTATAAAGTATTGTTAATTTTGGTTATGTTTATGGTTTATTAATACATGCCTTAACACCCTTACATTAAGACCCCGGGATCAATTCGAGCCCTATACAAAGACTCTTGCATCAGACTTGCAGAAGAAGTGTCTAAAGCACTAAGGGAACTAGCTAATAGCATAAGGAATAAGCGTCAATTCTCCCCTCAAGCACTGTCTGACAATATCAATGAAGCTCTACAACATCTCAATGATGACTTGAAATCCCAACCACAACTCTTCTTAGGCTCAAAGAATTTTGGTGCAGCCACAAATGCTGAAGAAGACACTAGAGTCTCATTCTCAAGTGTTAAGAGTGATTGTTCATCCATGTTTGAGTCTAAATCCAAAGAACTTTCTTGTGAGCAGTCAATGGAGGGACACAAGAAGGTTTTAAAGCCAATTGATGAGTAAGATTGTGATGACAAGTCTTGAGTTCTCAGATGCACTGCCTTTTGCTGCTTTCACTTCTATGCTTGTGGAGATGGTGGCAAAGTTGGATCGTGTTATAGATGCAGTTGATGACTTGGCCAAATTGTCACACTTTGGAGAGTTCAGAGATGAAGATGAGATTGTGAGTTGTGAGAAACCTAAAATAACTCACAATGACTTGCCTTCTTATGCATTTGATTAACCAGGGAGTATTCATATTCCCCCTTATCACTTGATGTTTTTCATCCACAAGCATAGCTAAAAGTTTGAGTGTGTGTTAATAAGCATATGTGCGAGAGAAGTGATTTAGTTTTAACTCTTCTCACAGAAAACTTTGTAATAATTCACATGTGATTTTAATAAGTGATACTTCTATTTGTAATATTTTGTTTTTTTTTTCTATGAATGTGCTGATTCATCTAATTATGGGTTTTTTTTCCCACATAGCACTGTTCCGATACAGAATTACACAGATAATAAATATACTGTGTCCAAAATTTGCACACTTTTGGTCTAAGGTTAGAATTCGGCTTTCTAAACTGTAATTTGAGGAAAACCGGTTGGAACATAGGTCGGAATTTGGTTTCCCAGAAACCCCGAATTTTGAATTGATTTTTATAATTTTTTAAAACAGAAATATATAATATATATTTATTAAATATAAATATTAAAAATATTTATTTATTTTTAACTATTTTTAATATTTAATTTTTAATAATTAAAAATATTTATTAAATATAAATATTAAATATTAAAAATATAAATATACCTAAAGTTGGATTGTATTTTGTAACCGTCGATGAGATGATGGGATGGTGTTAAATTGAAAATATTCTTATATTGTCACATTCATAGGTAACATCAAAACTCTTTAGAGTTTTTTATTTTATGACCTTTTGGATAAGTAATCTAAAATACTTATGTGAAAGAGATGAGATTTGATTTTGGTTAGTGGAAAATGCTGCATCATGTAAGTCGAGAAAACTCAATATTTATCAGATAGATTTTGTAAACTTAGTATACAAATTACAATTTAATAATTGCATTAGACAATTAAGACTTACAATTTATTATTTTAAACTGATATTACTATTTGAGCCCATGATACATAATAATGCAATATTACTTTTTGTCCAAATATAACTTTTAAAAGGTGTATTATTTGAAAGTCCTAAAATTGTGTAGACTTTATCTAATATAATTATATAATATCCGAAGCAATTTTTGAATTGCACATTCTTCGTTATTAAATATATATATATATATATATATATATATATATATATATATATATATATTTACGGTAAAAATATACACAAATATATTAAACATATAATTATGTATTAATGTTTTTATTATATATTAAAATATAAATAAATATTTTAAATATATAAATATGTATATTTATATTTATATATTTATTTAATATATATATATATATATATATTTAATAACTATATTTATATTTAATACAAATATTTATATATTTCAAAGAAAAAAATAGAAAATTATAATTTTTATTTACTAAAAATATTTTATATTAAATAAATACTTCAATATTATATATATATATATATATATTATTTTTAATAAAGTTATCATGTATATAAAAAACATAAATATGTATTTATTAAATACATAAATATATAATTATATATATATATTAAATATAAAAATATATTAAATATATAATAAAAATATTTATATATTTCTTTGAAAAAAATAGAAAAATATTATTTATATTTATTAAATATATTTTATATTAAATAAATACTTAAATATTATATATATTATCTTTATAAAGTTATCATGTATATAAAAAATATAAATATGTATTTATTAAATATATAAATATATAATTAAATATATTATATATTAAATATATAAATATATAATTAAATATATTATATATTAAATATATAAATATATATGTATTTATTATATTTAAAAATATATATAAAAATATATTAAAAATATAATTACATAAATAAGTTTTTATGATATACAAAATTATATATTTATATTTATTAGATATGAAAATTTAAATAAATTTTTTAAATATATATATATATATATATATAATATTTCTATTTATATTTAATAAATATATTTTTATATATCTCTGTTTAAAAAAAATACAAAAAGCAGCTCATATTTTGATTATTGTGAAACCCAATTCTGGCTAGTATTCCGGCTTGTTTGTCTTAAATCATAGATCAGAATTTGGCTCTCTATGAACGAAGTTTGGACCAAAAGTGTGTTATTTCTGTATTTTTTATCACCGTGTCTTATCTCTGTAATTCTGTATCCAATCAGTGTTACATGGAAAAAAAATAAAAATAATATATATATCTAATTATGTCATAAGTTATGTTTGTTGGTTACAAAATAACAAAGTATTATTTCAACTCTAAAATTGTAATTAAGAAAACTATTAGAAATTTATATATAATATCTTTTAATCTAAAACTCCCAATTGATAAAGGAAAAATTATAGGCAAAATTAGAAGAAAAAAAACTGTACTTCATAGAAAAAAATAATAAATCTCTCCTTAAATATAAAGAATAAAATCATACCGTCTCTTATAAAAAAGTTACATACATGTATGAAATAAAAATATATTTAGAAAATTTTCATATATTTTATTTTTTAGATAGACGTCAAAATTGATTAAATGAGTTCTATTTACAGTGAAAGTTTAAGTTTAAACATTAATATCGTTACAAAAATTTTCATCTAATTCATTTATGCCTAGATTTAATATTTAGTACCAGTATTAAAAAATTATTTGTTTATATTTAAATTTACATAAATTTTTTAATGTCATGAAATTAATAAAAAATAAATAAATTTAGATTTCTTTAAATTTAACTAATTAGTAATTTTTAAAATATGGGTACCAAAATTAAATTTAATAAAAGTATAGAAAAATAAAAATTATATCAAAGTACATAAATAAAAATATATTTTAACCTATAAAATAAATATAACTTTGTCATACAATCTCTTTTAAATGTGATTTTTTAAAAGACATAATTTTATGTTAAAATCAAATCATTACATCTTGTTAAGATTCTCCGTTTAAAATAAGTTATTATTATTATTATTATTATTATTATTATTATTATTATTATTATTATTATTATTATTATTATTATTATTATAATAATAATAATAATAATAATAATAATAATAATAGTGATATGTCTTTAAAAAAAGTTTATTTATACAAAATGTTTTTTTATTAAAATATGTTTTATAAAAAGATTATATTAGTTTTGTCTTTATAAAATCTAAATATAATTTTTTAAATTTGTAGGAGTAGAAGAAGATAGAGATAGACCAAGAATAATACATCGAATTGCGACAATATCTTAAAAATAATAAATCAATTACTAAATGTAAGAATCATTGACATAACTATAATTAGAATTTGTACAAAAGTACATAATATATTTTTTAAAATTAGACTTTCATCTTTAACATAATCAATAATTATGTTTAAAAATTGATAAAAAAAATCATGCTTAAAATTTTCAAGGACTAAATTAATAAAAAAGAAAACTATAAGAAAGATATTTTATAAGGATTGAAAAAATATTTTACAACATCATGTTATTATCTCTTTATGCCATGTTAAATTTTTAACACAATTGAAAAATTAGATCCAAAAAAAAAAAATTACATCTTGTAAGGACGAAAGTAACTGAAAAAAAATTATAAAAACTATTTTTATTATAAATACAAAAATTTTAAAATATTATTAATCTGATATTGGATACACTACTATAATTACTCTTATTTTTTCTATTCTTTCTTCAATAAAATGTATTATTCTACTCAATTTTTCCTGCAATACTATTATCATTTAAAAAAGTACAAAAGAGGAAAAAAAAGTTAAAAGAAAATGAATCTCAAAATAAGTGAATTCTCGTAATTAAATATATACATATTATGTTATTTTAAAATTATGAATAAAAGAAAAAAATAATAATTACAATTAAACGAGCTAATCATAGGGTCAACTAACGAAATTAGTTTTAAAATTAGATGGGATGAGTAGGATTTTCATCCTTAGATTTTAAAACTAATTCTGTTAGTTAATTCTATGATTAGCTTGTTTAGTTGTAACTAATTTTTCTTTGTTTTAGTGATGTTTTGTAAATAGATCATATTTAATTAAAAGAATTTATTCATTTTATTAATGATATTCATTTTCTCTCAACTCACTCTTCTTCTCTCAGTATTTTTTTTTTTTTCTCTTTCACTGTGACGTGTGTAGAATAATAAAATATGGTATCAGAGCTCTTAGGAGCTCTGGGCCATTATTTGCAATTCTGATTGTGATCCTTGCTCATTTGTTTTCAATCTTTTCAGTTTTATCATTGATACTTGTTCTTCAAGATTTTCTTGAGCCTCTTCATCAATGGCGATTACAAATCAAAACCTAGATCACCATACAAATTCATCAAATCCTTATTACCACAACACAAACGAAAATTCTGCTATGGTATTGGTTCCTTCTTTGTTAACAGAGAAAAATAAAAATTAGTTACAACCGAGTTAATCATAGAGTCAATTAGCAGAATTAGTTTTAAAAGCAGGATCCTGGGATTTTCATCCTTATTGTCTGATAAATACATTTAGCCTAACCCTTTGATTTAGATTCCCACAATTTTAAAATGCATTGAGCTTTTAACCAGCCAACTTATATCTTATTTTTTGTCAAAAATAAGTAGATTAGTCTCACTTTTGATAAGTGAGACTTTTGTCAACATGACTATCAATCTACCATCAACAAACTGTTCTATTACATTGCACAAGAAACCACAACATATGATTACTTCAGATCACTGATATTAGTCCTGTAAAATAATGACATGCATACATATATGATTACAACTGTACTTGCAACGAAAGAAAAAACAGATATCAGCATTTGTTAATTTCTAAATTAACCAATACAACACCAAGCCTATTGTGTCATGTCTACTGTGCTTAGCAGTCACTCAATTCTATTTTACAAAGAACAATGAAAATATATAAGGAAACATTAGGTAAACTTCTTCATAAGTATTTTAAAAACAAAATAATTAAACTACAATTTGCTTGAAAAAAATTTTGAGTGTTTGACAAAATTCATCCAACCATGTTGAACAAGCACATGGTTATGAACCATGTAAAAGTTTATGGTATTAAAGAATGCATTGCTGGTATTTAATTGTTATATAAGCTTCTGGTCACCTACATGATAACAATCAATTTCTGAGGTTGGTTTTCTCCACTGAACATTTGACAGTAAGTACCTACAAAGCAACCACCTTATATTTTTCTTTTACAAACACACTGGATTGCAATAGCAAAACGGCTGGAACTATCTGTATCTAATTTATGATTAGTCACCATCATCAAGAAGGAAACAAAAAAAGTTTTCCTACTGTCTTTATTACGTGCTCCTTGTCACTTTGTTAAAGCTTTTAAGCTAAACATAACATAACCTTGATCATAACTGAAACATTAATGATTTTTCTTCTCAGAAATTAAAGCTGATGCAGGATTTCAAGGTTAACATGGCTGAAACCAATGCTAGTAACAGATGCTCTAGGCAAATGAAGCATGTTTATTGCTTTGCTGATAAGGTGAAAAGATTTCCTGGTTTGGCAAGGAGAGCAACATGGAAGGTTGGCAAAGATGATCCAAGAAGGGTGGTCCATGCTTTCAAAGTTGGCTTGGCTTTGACACTAGTTTCTTTGCTGTATCTGATGGAGCCATTGTTCAACGGGATAGGAAAAAATGCTATGTGGGCTGTCATGACAGTGGTTGTGGTGATGGAGTTCACTGTGGGTAAGGTTATCTCATTGACATTGTTTTGTGTTTGAATCACAGCCTGGTCCATCAATAGGTATTGAAAGATCCCCTTTTTTCATCCTTTTGGTTTTTCTATGATTACAGGGGCAACATTAAGCAAAGGACTAAATAGAGGATTGGGGACTCTGCTAGCAGGATCATTGGCATTTCTCGTTGAATATATTGCAGAAGCCCCTGGTCGGATTTTTCGAGCAATTTTCATTGGTCTTGCAGTTTTTTTGTTAGGTAAGCATTTAATATTATGTCATAAAAGAAACTTGCCTCAGAGCTTAAATATAATTGAAAGGCTTTTGGAGAATTACCAAAAATAGAGATTCTATACATTTCTGAAATCTGGTAAATTAATGATGCTGTTTCTTATGCATAAAAGTGCCACAGAAGTGTGTATTTGTTAAAATTTTAGAGAAACTCCGTTGATATTTAAAACTTCAGACCTTAAAATTACCGTTCAAGTTCTTGGCCTATGTTTAACTTTGATCATCCTACAAAGCAAAAGAACTTGTAATCAAATTTTCTGTCGTGTGCCTGGAGTTACAAAATGTTTCTCGAGTCATCGTTTCACTTTTGGTTGGCAGGAGCAATGACAACTTATGTGAGGTTCATCCCCTATATCAAGAAGAATTATGACTATGGTGTTCTGATCTTTCTCCTGACCTTTAATTTGATAACCGTATCAAGCTTCCGCATTGATGATGTTTGGAGCATTGCAAAAGATCGCATGGTCACCATTGCCATAGGCTGTGCCCTATGCCTTGTGATGACCTTATTGGTGTTTCCAAACTGGTCAGGGGAAGACCTCCAAAACAACACCATTTCAAAGTTTGAAGGCTTAGCCAACTCTATACAAGGTAATTAAAGTGAACTCTAAGATACAAGTTGCTTACTTACCTTAAACATAAACACTGTAAGTTTATGCAAAACAAATAACTGTTGAAGATTATCATTTGATGGTTAAAGAAATCATGCAGTCTGTGTCAAGGAATATTTTTATGATTCTGAAAAATCAGAAAGTGATGATGATTCATCTGAGGATCTTATCTACGATGGTTACAAGACTGTTTTAGATTCCAAAGCAAGCGATGAAACACTGGTAACTCGGTGCCTCTTTCCTGTTATGTGAAACATGTCAGAAATTAGTGATTTGTGACAAAAGTTCATATGTGATTTGTTGTGTGGAGAACAGGCATTACAAGCAAGCTGGGAACCAAGATACGCAAGATATTGTTACAAAATCCCATGGCATCAATATGCAAAAATTGGAGCTGCTCTTCGCCATTTCAGTTACACTGTTGTTGCACTACATGGCTGTCTGAAGTCTGAAATTAAGGTACAAAGGTCATCTCCAAGTGCCTTCTTAAAAACCGTTTATACTTGAAGAATAAAATATTATGAATTTTATAGATGAGTTAGCTTAAAATTTTGTTAAAGTTGTTTATATAACCAATTTTCTTCTAATTTTAAATAACTTTAAGTAACTCAGTCATAAAACCTATAATAAAATATTCTTTTTTTTTCTTAAATAATTCTTATTAACAACTCACTTTCAAGATGTCTCTAATGAAATCATCTAGAGAAAAAGAAAAACTTTAATTAAAGGAGTCTGTATAATGCTAAAATTGACTTAAACTTAAATGTGCTTTTGCATGACTTAACTTTCAATCCAATAGAGAAATGTAAAAATCAAAGATTTATCACTTCCTCAAAAAATTTAAATATATCTTGAAAGTATTTTTAACCCTGTTCCAACCATCATAAAATTTTAGAGGTCTTTGAAACTTCTAAGAGCTGGTAGCTGCGTTTCTGATCTTGCTATTATCTTTCGTTCAAGTCCAAGTGAATTAAATCATACTAATGATGATTGTGACAAATCTTTTCAAGTTAAAACAACTTACTATTTAATCTATAGGTCAATATGCCAATTCATGTTTTCTTTCCCTCAAAAAGGGCTTCAACTTGCTTGTATTATGTCCATCATTGAACTCCTAGACCTGGATTATCTGTCATGTCATTAGCACATGGATAGAAATCACATGAAATATCAATCATTGATTGAAATCTACGATCTAAATGATATTCAAGGCCTTTTTATCTGGCACTTAAACATGAAATGTCTTCATTATTCTTAAAGCTATCATCTTTTCAATTATCAGAATACCCCCTAATATAAAAAGCTAACTACTTATTTGATGCTTATTAACATAATCTTATTTATTTATTTACATTTGATTCATTAGACACCAAAGTCAATTCGTGCCCTGTATGAAGACTCTTGCATCAGACTTGGAGAGGAAGTGTCAAAAGTATTAAGGGAACTGGCCAACAGTATCAGGAACAATCGTCAATTCTCCCCTGAAACACTCTCCAACAATCTCAAAGAAGCATTAGAAGACCTCGACGATGCCTTGAAATCCCAACCACAACTTGTACTAGGCTCGAGGAATAGTCGAACCACAAACACCCCATTTCAAGCAGTTCCACACCCTGACAAAAAGCTTGAAGACACCAGAACCACATTATCAAGTGTTAAGAACATTGAATCTTTTTCCCTGCGTGCATGTAAATCTAAAGACCACACTCGTGAACTTTCAAAGAAGGCTTTAAGGCCACAACCGAGTATGGCTGCCATAGTAAGCCTTGAGTTCTCAGATGCATTACCCTTTGCTGCTTTCACTTCTTTGCTTGTGGAGATGGTGGCTAAACTTGATCGTGTCATGGATGAAGTTGAACAGTTGGGCAGAATGGCACATTTTAGAGAGTTCGAAGATGACGATGGTGATGAGGTTGTTGTGGCTTGTGAGAAACCAAAGATGAATATAGCTCAGAATGACTTGCCGCCTTATACAACAGAGTAGTTAGAAGAATCCAAAGGGAGTACTTGAGCGCATTCATCTCAATTGTGGTGTTTATCATCATCCAATGAGAAGAGTTACATGCGTAGCTTGCTGCATGCATGCATACATTCGTGTGTGTCAAGCAACAAATTTTTCGTCGTTTTACATGGAGAAGGTGTACCTAAAATGCTTCCACAAAAATGTACCCCCATGAACAAAGTGAAGTCCTTTTTGTCATAGCTAGCTTGCTTTGATTTAGTTTACAATATACATGTCTCAGTTATAAGTGCATGATAAAATTCTTCGTAAGTATTTTTAAAAAAATAAAATAAAATATTTGTTTTAAAACTAAAATATTAATGAGATTTTTTTTTACAAGGGTATGATAAAATCCATCCAAACATATAGTAAAATGAGAGATAACATAGACCAACTTGTAAAATGAGAGTAAAATTGTTAATCATGTGCCAGAGATTCGCGGGGATTACATGGTAATGAATATATAACAAGTTCTGATATTTAGTTGTCATATTAACTTCTGGTCACCAACATGATAACAACCAATTTCTGTGAGGTAGGTTTTCTCCGCTGAACATTGACATTACGCACCTACGAATGCAACCACCTTATATTTCACTTTTTAAACACATTGGATTACACCAGCAAAACGGCTGGAACTATATGTATCAATTTGTGAACTCTCCATCATCAAGTGGGAAACAAAACATGTTTTCCTACTGTCTTCATCTATCATGTTCCTTGTCACTTTGTGAAAGCTTTTAAGCTAAACATAACACACCCTTGATCATAACTGAAACATGAATTATTTTTCTTCTCATACATTAAGGCTGATGCAGATTTGAAGGTTTCAATCGTTGAAACCAGTGCTAGTAACAAATGCTCTAGGAAAACGAGGTATGTTTGTTGCTTTGCTGATTAGGTGAAAATATTTCCTGGTTTGGCAAGGAGAGCAATGAAAGATTGGCAAAACGGATCCAAGAAGGATGGTCCGTTCCATTTGTTAGTTCTTAAGAGAACGAAATGATTTTCATACTTTATTCACGACACTAACAGATTTGAAATAAAGTTAATATTTGGAAATGTTCATGACCAAATAAAGTGAATCATGAATTGGCCCCAATTAGATATCATATACTAACACTATATCAGATCATGTTCCATGACTCTCTCACAGCTATACCTCTTTAGCATTAAGCTTTACGTAAAATGATGTCATGGATATTAAAACAGGCACAAAAAACTGCAGACCAAATGAGTAACCGATATGTGAATAAAGGCAGGGAAACTTTCATTGATCCCTTGCTTTCTTACGCGCCAGGAAGCGCTCTTTAGCTGCAGCCAAAGTATCCAGACTTCTTTTGTGATGATCGGGCGCTGGTTGAGAAGCCAGAGGCTGTTCAGCTGAACTCTTTTCTTCCACGGACGAAGCCTCAGGAATTGGTTTCGTGTCCAATGGATTAGAAGCTCCACCCTGTTCCCCAATCTTAATTTCTGTAGGGGACTCCGCTGGTGAACTTGACTTGTCCATCGAATGCTCCACTTCATCTGACCCATTACGTTGTTCATGGTCATCTGGTGCATGACTCTCTCCTCCCTCATGGGTCTCTGCAACTCTGCGCTCAGCCTGATTGTCACGTTTCCTCGCTTGGGCGTCTTTTGCTCCATAAGCAACGTTTTTATCAAGGTTTGAATAAAAATCAAGCAAAAAATCCTTCTTCTTGGTAACCTGTGCAAATATTGAAATACAAAAAAATGTCAATAATTAGAATAGAGATAGGAATAAAACCATAAAAAATCATGTCAGTTTAATTAATTAATTAATATATATATATATATATATGTGTGTGTGTGTGTGTGTGTGAACTATAAAATAAGGAGGAAAGCAAGGAAACATTAGAATGCTTTGAAATCCATTACCAATCTGGGTTGACAATAGATGTACATGTATGCAAATATGGTAAAAATTATGAGAAATTTAAAAAAAGGGAACTTACGTCATCTCTTTCCTCTTGAAGTTCACGCAAACGTTCCAGCTCCATTTGTCTCTCTCGTTCGGAAAGCTTCTTTCTATACGCTTCTGTAACAAATTTGTCTTTGTTAGCATAGAGATGGTCGTCTTTGCTTCTCTCTTTGGCAATCTTTTTCTCATAAACAATCTCACGATACTGCTCTCGCTCTTTGGCCTTTTTAATCAGATTTTCAATATATTTTGGCTGCACCACAAAGATTACAGGTTGATGATGAATACCAACGTCATTTAGAAAAAACCCAAACCGAATAAATTTCAACAATAGCTCCCACAAAAGTAAAACAACAAAAATATAAAAAGTAAAAATTAAACGAAACATTAAAAAGGAATAAACTCATAGCCTATTTGAAACCCAGTAACCCACCATCAACCATTTTCACTATTCTGACAATGCGCTGACAATGAAGATTCCGAACCTTGAGAGTGAGTTGTATCCATAAATCTCAACCACCAATTCCCAGATAGACAGTAGCACCTTTATACGGTACTGTTGTTATTTTTAAAATATTAAATCTTAAAATATCACAATCTTAATTCTATGTAATGTTACTTTAACACATCATGAAAATATGTTCCTACATGCCACCATATGATCTAATTATGTATCATTTGTATATAAGCCTACTTACATCTACGATTATTTTGTGACATTGCGTCCTCCGCTATGTCCTATGTCATGTGAATACACTACCTGAGTCATTTTAAGCTGCTAATCACCTGAGTCATCATCATAATTATGATGTAAATGTAAGATAGCAGAGATCCTAAGTTTCTCACCATACGGTTCTATTAAGTTAAACATAACAATGTGGCTGCGAAACTAACAGAAGATTACTAGAACTGAAACCATACCTTTCTCTCTTCACGATCTTGTGTCACCGGGCGAGTTTCTTTGGCTTTCATTTTGTCATAGACTCCATCATAATCAAATACAGATGGATCTTCCTCCAAGGCTTTCTTTTGCTGCTCCTCAACCTTAAAAAACGAAAAGCCAAAAGGTGATTCAGATAATACTATAAACAATCATAAACAAAAGGCACAATAATAAACAATGGATGAAAAATATCAAACAGCAGGGAAGCTATCATTGAAAGACCAACTTACTTCCTTGAGACGTTTATTCTTGCTAGCCTGAAGAGCAATTTCTCTCTCAACGTCATTCTCGTCATCATCATTGAACCCAAAGGGGGTGGCAAGGGAGGGCCTTGGTGGCGGTTTCTTTGGCTTCGGTGGCCTAAGGTTCAAACCATACTTGCTCATCTCACCTATGGTTATCAAAATCGCGAATCAACTCGTAAACTCGGACGAGATCACGTTCCCACACCGTCGAACCTAGGTCACGATTTATGCAGAACACAGCATGTGACAATTCCGTGGTTCACTGGTTCTCTCTTTCAAGTTTCTAATCGTTTTGGGTGTTGATGTTGCCGCCTCCTACCGCACGAAGCAGATCTGTGTTGTGTCTTTCTCAGCTCCGGTTTGCGTTTGCGTTTCGACGTTGCCCTTCGAGTTATCCTCCAGAGGCTGTGCATTTCATACATAGGACAAGGCAAATTAGATATTAGTGGGCTGGGCCGTGTGATGTTTTTCTTTTTTTACACTTTCTTGTTCCATCTCTATAATTTTTAACTGCACCCCCATAATTAATTAAATCATATTTATTCTTACTTCTATTTTCCCTGAAAGTGTTTATGATTTTTAAACCTTTAAATGTCTGACTTTTAATCTTACTAAAGCGTTTTCATTCTGCATTCTCCTATTATTCTAAGAATGGCAACAATTAGGTAAGAATCTTCAACATTTTTAATTTGTATCAATTTGTTTACCTCGTACAATATCACTTAACAAGATTTTTAACTGGAAACATGTTTCGGAGATTGAGGATATAGTTCCAAACAAAATTCAGAAACATATTTTAGAAAATAGATTCCATAATATATTTTTACAAATATATTCGAAATATATTTTCAGAAAACCGATTTTAAAAATATATTATAGAATCTACTTTTCGAAACATGTTTATGAAAAAGAAAATAGAAATATTGTTCCAGAACCCACTTTCTACACTTTTTTTCCAGAAAATCTTTTTCAAAAATCTTATTCCATATCCAACTAGATATGTCTCCAAAAAATTAAATTTAATGTATTTTTATATTGATATTTTGAAAAAATATTTTGAATTAAGTATTTTGGAACTTAATTTAATTTTTGTAAAATTAGTTTGAATCAAGAAATTTGAGATTCAATATATAATTTCAGTGAAAAAACACATAATAAATACATAGTATTAATAAATGCTCAACTTTTAAGTGTTAGAAACGAATTTGAACTAAGATGATTGTACAAAAAGTTAAATTTAAAGATATATGGAGATATAAATAAAAAATGGAGGTGCAGAATTTTAGCAGGAAAATATAAAAAAATAATAGGATTTGAAACAAATTATTACTGAGTTATTTTAATAATTTTACTTGAAGTATAAAGATGCATAAACAAATTATGTGATAAAAAAAAGTGCTTTTTATTTTCTCCTATCTTTTAGATTGTTGGGCCTCAGTTTGTACACAACACTTTTTTTTTACCTAAGTATAAATTAAAGAGTAACGATAAAAGTAAACTGATTAGATAAGTAATTTAAAATCAGCAATACATTATTATTATTATTATTTTTAAAATATTAATAAAAGGAAAGCAAGTGGAATAATATTTACGACAAATGCACTAAACTGAGTTTCAGGTCAAGTCCTATTGTCATTGTCATGGCGTTGATGACAAGGGCGAAGAAGGTTCAATTTATTTTATTCTTTAAATTCGAACATGGCTAAATTAATTTTACAGAATTAAATTCAACTCAAATTTACATTTTTTAATATAATTTTAGAGCTTATTCTAACAAAAATTATCATTCGACTTAGTCTAAGATGAGATTATGAGGATGAGGATGAAAATGAGGTTCGTGCAGGTGCAAGGTGTTGATTGAAAAGTAAGCAACAATGGGAGAGGTGAAATTACTAGGGTTTTGGTCTAGCCCTTTTGTTCATAGGGTTATATGGGCTCTGAAGTTGAAGGGAATTGGTTATGAGTACATAGAGGTTGACAGACACCACAAAAGTGAGCTACTTCTGCAATCCAATCCAATTTACAAGAAAGTTCCAGTGTTTATTCATGGAGGCAAGGCCATTGCAGAGTCTCTCATCATCCTTCAATACATCGAAGAAACATGGCCACACCACCCTCTGCTGCCACAAGACAACCATCAGAAGGCCTTAGCTCGTTTCTGGATTCAATTCGGAGACGATTCGGTGTTCTTATTTGACTTCATTTCCATCACTCTACACAATTAATTTTGTTTTTTTTTTCTTCTTCTTTTATATTCTCTAATTGGTGTTGTTCGTTTGATTTTCAAGATCGCCTCCATCACTGATCTGTTTCTCCGACCCTCTAAAGATGAAGAAGAAAGAGCAAGTGCATGGAAAAAGGCACAAGAAACTATCGCCGTGATCGAAGAGCAAGGTCTAGGGGACAAGAAATTCTTCGGAGGAAACGATGTTGGAATGGTGGACATAGCATATGGATGCCTAAGCCATTGGTTGGAAGGGTTGGAGGAAATTGTGGGCATGAAATTGATTGAGCCAAACCAATTTCCTCGGTTGCATGCGTGGACTCAAAATTTCAAACAAGTTCCTGTCATCAAAGAAAACCTTCCTGAGTATGGGAAACTGTTGATCCATCTTCAATGGCGCAGGCAGCAATATGTTACACAGTAGCAGAATAAACAACTCAAAGGAGGTAATGGAGTCATGGTTATAGCCACAGGGAGTGTAGTGTTTTATCAAGTTACATTAAATAAAATAAAATTGTGAGAACATTCAAACTTGGTGTTAATCTTGTTCAATAAATCAAGTCAAAAGGTATGGAATCCATAGTTTCTGGCATCACAGGAATGGGTATATGAAATGAAATAAACAAACTTGCTTTACTCAATAATTACAACTAATCATTTAGCAGAAGGTCAAAAATTAAACTAGATATTTCAGAATCTAGTTTTTTTACCTCTTTTTCTTCTTGTTTTCCGCAACAGCACCCTTGTAATCATCATTGACATCTAATTCTTGCCCTTGATCAACATCAATGGATAGGTTGTGTATCCATTCCACAGTCTCTGCCCAATGATGTCACCAAATTTATCTGATTGAGCATCTCTGCTATATACTGCATTTTTAGATGGTTTCCTGTTCTGATTCAGATGATGACATTTCTTCACCCGTATCTTCAGTTTCATGCTCAATCATTGCATCATCATTTTCCAAAGGCATCCCCATTAAACCTATACAAACATTTAAAAAGGAAAAGAAAGTTCAATTTATACCAACAGTGTGTGGTATAGCACCTATAGCAACCAAAACAGAACATCGTTTAAGATTTAAGGGACAAAGCTTTCAGAACCAGAAGGTGGAGCGGAGGCATAACACTAATTGGCATCAATGCTTAAGAGCAAGCTACATAATGACACATACTCAATTATGTAACCTTTGAGCTTTGAGAAGCTTCATTTTTGTTAAGGGAAGCAAAAACTATGTTAGTTTTCCAGGAGCATTTTGGAGACCGTGGAAGTAAAAGCCTTCGGAGAACATTATTTTCTCACCTTTTCTCACAATCATATCAACCAAACCTGTTGTTTTTCCTTAATGGATGTTTATCAGATATCTTACATGTTATAAAGTTATTAGTTATTGATTCTAATCAGAATCAAAAGGCACAACCTACATCTTGCTGTCGAAACAGATTGTAATTCTGACACGATTAAGACCAGAATTGATATCAGATCAAATTTAAAACATCTCATATAAATTACTGTTCAGCATCAGAATATGATCAGAATGAAATTGATATAAGTAATCTCAGTAAGTTGTAATTGCTGAGTCAGCAATAGTTAGTTAGGCAGTTATAACTGCTGGGGTAATTAGCTATTAATAATAATTAGTCTGTAATAAAGAAAGACAAGAAAAAACAGAGTCTTCCGTCAATTGTATCTTCTTTCTTATTCCTTCTCTTCAGTTCAATAATACATCGAAATCTTTCAATTCTTGGGTTCCCTTTTCATATTCCAGTTCTTCGAAGAATTATCTTCCTAGTTCTAGAAAGAATCATAACAATTGGTATCAGCTTGTTCGATCCATTTCGGAGTCTCCATGGCAGAAGCGACAAGAAATGCTCAGGCTCTGAAAGATATGGAGGAGCGTTTATCTGTTCGGTTCGATAATCGATTGGCTGAGTTTGCAGGGACAATGCAGCGATCTCTGGACGAATCTTTGAAGAAAACTATGGACGACCTCTTACTACAACAGTCACAAGGCTCTCCAGGGGTAAACCGTCAAGACGGTCGCAATGCTGGTTTGTATTCTTGTGGTACTCGTCTTGCTCGCATTGATTTTCCACGATTTTATGGTGAAAATGTGAATCGGTGGGTGTACCGAGTGTAACAATTTCTTCTTGATCGACAACACACCTGACCCCATTCGTGTTCAATTAGCAATAATTCATTTAGAGGGTCGTGCTCTTCAATGGCACACGGCTTTATCTAAAACTGTCAATTGTTCTTCTATGTGTTGGGCGGATTATGCACAATTGGTAATTGCAAGATTTGGAGATGTTTGTGATGACCCCATGGCTGAATTGATGAAGTTGAGGCGTAAATCGTCAGTTGTTGAATATCATGAGGAATTTGACTCTATTATCACTCGTTTATCGTTGTCCGAAAATTACACATTAAGTTGTTTTTTAGGCGGGTTGAAACAAGATATTCAAATGTTGGTAAGAATGTTTAATCCCACTTCGGTTCGGAGAGCCTTCCAATTAGCTCGAATGTATGAAGCCGCCAACGCCCCTACCAGCTTGAGCATTGCTAAGAATGTTCCTGGATCTTTTAACCATGCTTGTGGTAGCCAAGAATCGAAAGGACTCGTTGGGGGTCAAACCTATGGTTGTTCCTAAAACTATCTCTAATACAAGCTCTCAGAAGGAATCTGTGAATTCGAAGTTCAAGATTGGTAAAACCTTAACTCCAGCCTTTATGAGTGAAAGAAGAGCCAGTGGATTGTGTTTTTTCTGTGATGAACCATACTCCCAGGAGCATAGCTTAACTCACAAGAAGTTGCAGGTGCATGTGCTAGAAGTGCTTGAGGACAAGGAAACTATTGAGGAGCCGAGTGGGGCTGATGAGATTTCGGTGGGGGATGATTTGCAAATTTCAGTCCATGCGTTATCGGGTATAGCTAATTTCAAAACCATGCGTGTTACGGGTCATTATCAAAAGAATCTTGTTCATATTCTAATTGATAGTGGTAGTACTCATAACTTCTTAGATATTGGATTTGCTAAACGATATGGTTGCAAAATAGAGAATTTGGATCCAATTACTGCTACTGTGGCGGATGGGTACAAGCTTCCTATTTCCTCTACAGTCAGGAATTTTACATGGAGGTTGCAAAATACTATTTTTACTTCGGATATAATGCTTATTCCTTTGGGTGGTCATGATTTGGTGTTGGGCATTGAATGGTTGGTCACTTTGGGTGATATTGTGTGGAATTTTGATAAGTTGCAGATGGAATTCAAAACCAATGGCAAAAGACTTATTCTTAGAGGTTCTGCTCCAGGGGGAATAAAAACTATACGGAAACAACAGGTTGGGAGAGTTTTAGATGAAGGAGTCCATTTATCCATGATACATCTGTGTGAAGGGGGAGAAGGATTGTTGCAATCCCTCATTACTCATGCCAATCAACATCAGCTATCTCCTAGGGTTGTTGATCTTTTGACTGAATTTGATGATGTATTTCAAGAACCTAAGTCTCTGCCTCCTTTCAGACCTGAACATGATCACAAGATTCCACTTGTGCAAGGCGCAAATCCTGTTAATAAGAGACCCTACAGATATGCTAAGCATCAGAAGGATGAAATAGATAAATTGGTACAGGAATATTTGAGTAAAGGTGTAATTCAGAACAGTTGTAGCCCCTATGCAAGTCCTGTGGTGTTGGTTGGGAAGAAGGATGGTTCATGGAGGCTGTGTGTGGATTATAGGGAGCTGAACAAAAACACTGTGAAGAATAAATTTCCCATTCCTTTGGTGGATGACCTTTTAGATGAACTCCATGGATCTACAATTTTTTCTAAAATAGATTTGAGGTCTGGGTATAATCAGGTGAGAATGGCTCCTGATGATGTTCCAAAAACTGCTTTTAGGACACATTCTGGTCACTTTGAATATGTGGTGATGCCCTTTGGTTTATCAAATGCACCGGCCACCTTTCAAGGCCTCATGAATTCTGTGTTTCAATCTTTTTTGAGGAGGTTTTTGTTAGTTTTCTTTGATGATATATTGATATATAGCAGTAATTTGGAGAGTCATGTGAGTCACTTAAGGCAAGTACTATTGACTCTTAGGAGCAATAGTTTATTTGCTAGGAGATCTAAATGTTTTTTCACTGTTAAAAAGGTTGAATACCTTGGTCATTTTATTTCTACTGAAGGGGTCTCTACTGATCCGACCAAGGTGGAAGCTATAAAAACTGGACATTGCCTCGGAATCTCAAGCAATTAAGAGGTTTTTTAGGGTTTGCGAGTTATTACAGGAGGTTTGTGAAGAGGTTTGGAGTGGTGGCTAAGCCCTTGACTCGAAATGCTTAAGAAGGATGGGTTTGTATGGAGTGATCACGCGAAAGAGGCTTTTCAGCAAATCAAGAACCTTCTCTGTAATGCACCAGTTCTGGCATTACCAGATTTTTCTAAAGAATTCATAGTAGAGGTTGATGCTTCAGGTTATGGAATAGGAGTAGTCCTCATGCAGGAACACCATCCTATTGCTTATATTAGTAGAGCTTTGAATAATCAACAACAAACATTATCTACTTATGAGAAGGAGTTATTGGCAGTAGTGTTTGCAGTCCAGAAGTGGAGACATTATCTTCTCAATAGGCATTTCACGGTAAAAACTGATCACTACAGCTTGAAGTATTTGCTGGATCAAAGGCTCACCATTGTGTTTCAACAGAAGTGGTTAGCAAAGCTCATGGAGTTTGACTTTTCCATAGAATACAGGCAGGGGCATGAGAATGTGGTGGCGGATGCATTGTCAAGGGTTGAGGAGTTAAAGTGTCATAGTTTGAGTACTTATGAATTACAATCTGATTTGGGTGATAAGATCAAGGCTACTTGGTTAACTGATGTGAATTTGAAGAAGTTAATCAAGGAAATTCAAGATGGCTCGGCTGTACATAAACACTATACATGGCATAATAACGAACTAAGGAGGAAGGGAAGATTAGTGGTTGGAAATGATAGTAAGTTGAGAGAAGAATTACTGCAGTGGTTGCATTCTTCAGGGGCTAGTGGTCATTCGGGCATTAATGCAACAATGCAAAGAATCAAAACTATGCTACATTGGAAGGGTTTAACTACTGATGTAAAAAGGTTTGTACTGCAATGTCATGTATGTCAAAAAAATAAGTATTCGACGGTGGCAAGTCCAGGATTGTTGCAACCATTGCCAGCTCTCGATCAAGTTTGGCGACAGGTGACTATGGATTTTATTGAGGGTTTACCTATGTCTTTTGGGAAGCAAGTCATTCTACTAGTAGTGGACGATTGAGTAAAGCAGCCCACTTCATGGCTCTTTCTCACCCTTATACAGCAAGGGATGTAGCACAGGTTTTCTTGGATCAAGTTTTTAAGCTGCATGGTTTTCCAGGCACAATCACTAGTGACCGGGACCCTGTCTTTATCAGTACATTCTGGCGGGATTTGATGGCTTTCCAGGGAGTTCATGTTCAACTTTCATCTAGCTATCACCCTCAAACGGATGGCCAATCGGAAGTGGTAAATAGGTGTCTTGAAACATATTTGAGGTGTATGTGTTGTGACGCACCTCAGCAGTGGAGCAAATGGCTGCCCATGGCAGAGTGGTGGTATAATACCACCTATCACACTGCCACCAAGGCTACCCCATATGAGATTGTTTACAGCCAACCTCCTCCCATACATCTCCCTTATCTACTTGGTCAGTCCAAGATTGAGCTAGTAGATAGAAGTTTGTTTAAGAGAGAAGAGATGTTGAAGATGTTGAAGTTCCACCTCGGAAGAGCCCAGGAAAGAATGAAACAACAAGCCGATAAACACAGGATCGACCGGAGTATCAGATTGGTGATATGGTATATGTTAAGCTTCATCCTTATCGGCAAATCTCGGTGGCGCAGAGGAGCAATATGAAGCTCGAGTCCTAAGTATTTTGGGCCCTATCGAATTATTGATAAAATTGGAGTTGTGGCTTACAAGCTTGAACCGCCGGAACAGTCCAAAGTTCATGATGTTTTCCACGTTTCACAACTTAAGATGCATGTGGGAAGGGTCCCAGGTTTCAAGTGTGCTGCCATATCGGTCAGAAGATGTTTTGGTAGACAAGGAACCGGAAGCTATCCTAGATAGGATGACAGTTCGAAGGAAGGGAGTAGCAGCGACCAAGGTTTTGGTTAAATGGAAGCATCAATTGGCAGAGGATGCTACTTGGGAATTTTACTATGATTTGAAGAAGAAATTTCCATCTTTTCATCCTTGAGGGCAAGGATGTTGTAAG